GTGAGAACCGTGAGAACTGCTATTTTTAATTGTATATACTGCTATGAATGATTGTGTTTTAATGCTATTTTTAACTAGGATGTATTTTATTAAAAATAGCAATAAAATTTTTATTAGCGTTTGTGAAAATGTTAGCACCATGTAATGTTAAAAATAGCATCATACACAATTAAAAATAATAGCAAATATGGTTCTCACACCAGACTTAGTTTTTATTTGAACCAACCCCTATATATATTATTTTTAATTAAATGTAATTCACATGTGCACAACCTATTTATAGGGTGAGAGCATGTGTTTGGCATCGATTCAGTTATAACTGTTAGAAAAAGTGTAATTATTGTTGGGGCGGTGCCACATGCAGCCGCCCCACTTGATGAAAAAAAAAATTATTTACAACTTGTAGTAAAGGGGCGGCGCCGCTCACATGCTGCCGCCCCATGTGTTTTGATTTAAAATATATATATATATATATATATATTTTTTATTACAATTTGTTAGGTAAATTGCCCAACTTCTCTGCTATAAATAGAATGCTTCTTCAGAAGAGAAGAATCCACAAAACAGAAGAGAAAAAAGAGAGGAAAGAAAGAGAAAAAGAAAGGAAAGAAAGATAAATTTATGTCTAAATATCGGATATAAAAATATCAAAAGATAAGAAACAAGTGATATTTTTATTTGTTTCAGAATATTCTTTTTATTACTAAGTGCTCAATTCTCGATTCCGTGCCCGTTCACCGGAGCTTGTAAATCTGGTGTGCTACAGATTTAGAGACGTTTGTCGTTGTATCTTTGGGGAAGTTACGCCTGAACCGTTAGCTGCCACACGAGGCGTATTCTTCTTGCTGAAAGAGTTTTTTACTCGCCTCGGCTAAAATCTTTCTGTTTTTCAGTTGTATTTTATTTTTCAGTTCAATTGTAATTTTCTATTTTTTAGATTATTTGTAAGAACTGAAAATACATATCAGTTTGTAGGATTTCCGTGTAATTTCACATAAAATATCCAACAATCGCAAGAAGAATATCCAGTCATCCTACTGAACTGATGGCATCCACCGGAGCAGGTTCCAGCTCTCAACATCCGATCAATCATGTACCTGCTGTCCATGTTCCTACAGCTGAAAAGCCCGAAAAATT